CCCCTTTTTATCACTCCCGCCCCTCTCCCTCACGCTCCCTGCACCATGTCTCTTCTTCCTTCTCCCCCCTCTCTCTCTTTCTCGCTCTCTCTCTCCCTCTCTCGCTCCCCCCCTCTCTCTCTCTTTCTCCTTTATTACCTGCTTGCCAACCACATCACTGTTTTGCTGTAGAGCCAGAAGCACAGTGGCAGTCAGCGCTGGTCCACCTTCGTTGCCCTGTGGGGGGAAAAAGGGAACACGTGAGAGGGGAAGTCTTTAGTTTTGGTTTCAGCGAGAGTTTTTCGGCACTTGCAATACAGTTAGGTCATAATATTATGAGTGTTACTAGATAGAAACAAACAAAATTAATAAAAGAAGGAGGAGAGATATAAACGATAGATGTTTGACAGGACACCGCACTGGAGCACCCGCCAACTACCCGCAAGTGGAAGTCTACAGTACAGCCTGATTGCTCCTTACCGACACACGCAATACGATAAGATAAGATAAAATAAGGTAAGATAAGATAAGTCTTTATTCAATCTTTGTTGGGAGAAATTGACAGGGGCCTTTCACCAGCTTCTGCGGGACAATAGACTGTAATATAGTCCAATATTTAAATATAATATATACGGCACCATATCAACACATGGCCTTCTCCCTCGCTCACTCATACATCCACTCGTTACACTTACACATAATATGGCAAAAATATCGACAAACACATGGCATACACAAGTAATGATTCATGAGAACGTGCTGTCTTCATCATCATCATCAAGTGCCAGATCTGCAACAGACATCGGCGATCACGGTTCTCCATTCATTCCTTTGCTCGTATGCTTTCCAAAAAAACATTAACCTTATCTTTAATCGTCAGCAATCTATTTTGTCTCTCCAAGTAGGTCAAACTGGGTCTACCTCTGCCTCAGGGGGCGAAAATTACAACGCTTTTATTGTTAATGATTGGACTATCCCTAATCCTAACAGCATCTTAACCTTACCCGAAACACCCACATTGACCCTACCTGTACATTCCTGTCCAGCACTTGTCCGAACTCAGAGAACGAGCCGTCTCGGCTCTGTCTGTCCAATAGCCAGTCCACTGCCCGCTTCAGCACCTGGTCGTCCACGTAGATGGTGTTCTTGGCCTCACTGAACGTTCTGGGACCAGTGCTGTCAGCCTGAGGGAGTTGGTTGG